AGGAGCTCGATAATTCGGCAATTCATTTGGCTTTAATAATCAGGTTTATGAAGAAAAACTTCATACTTGCAGACTTTGTACTCGTTTGTATCCTTGCCCAATTGCACAATCTGGCGTCAGGCATTTACTGTATTGAAGCTACTGGGCATGGTTAAAACTCAAGACAGCATAAGCACAATTATTCCAGATATTACAGGTAAAGAATTTTTATAGTCCTGCCACAAATAAGCTATATATTGATTATTGACCATTTGTGACATGCTATAACGAGCAAAAATTTAAAAAAAAACTAATAGGTAGGTTTAAAATTAATATATACAAGTGTATTCTGACAGTGAATGAGTTAATTATGCTTTCTATTTGCAAAATTCCTCAAACTTAACACAAAATAAGAAAAAAAGTGAATTTTTAAGAAATCTGCGGGATTTCCCGGGATAAGAAAAATTTCCCGGGTTAAAAAAACAACCGGGATCCCGTTTGAGAAACCCTAATACTATACTAATAATGTATTTTTTTCAGTTATCCGACCAACCTGAGTCTCCAATTGTGTCAGATAATCAATGCTCTAATGTACTTTAGAAGTTAATCTAGTATCAAAAACGTTTGATTCAGCATGACACACAGTCCTCAGAAAAACGCTACACAAAAGTGCCAGTGCTGCCAGCTAAAACACACACATCAATAAAAAAAATATTGGAGTAGCCCAAGATATAGTCAAAGATTGCAGTGCCACAGCACTAATGAAAATTTAAATTTGCCGACTGGAATACTTTCAAATAAACAACACTCTACTATAGTAAAAAGAAGGCAACATAAAACTCAAAGTCAAAATAAAAAGTTCTAAATTCTAAGAAATGAAACTTCAATCTTTTTTCTTTTATTTTAATAATATATAGAAATAAATAAACCAAGTTAAATGAAATTATTAAGTAAAGTTAATAGTGAACTTAATTACATTATTTAAGTATTTGAGATATTCTAGTATTCAAAATATTGAATATTCAAATTTGAGAAAAATGACTTTTGTTCCATCTCTAATATTTTGTTATAAAACACTGTATATGGAAGATATGAAATAAAATCAACATTCTGTAGTTAAAAGGTTAGAGAAGGGATTCTCAAATGTTGCAACCAAAAAAATTTCATACAGCCACAAAATCAATTCTGTACTATTCTCCAACCAGGAGCTAATTCTGTAACTCTTCACTCACTATCATCAAAATATCCACCAATTTGGACAGTTTTAAATTGAACTACAGCTTGGATAATAAAATCATACACCTGAAGGAATATAGATGCTGTTCCAAGAGATCATGATATTGTTACACAATAATGACCACAAATAATTTCTGTAACCACACATGCAGCTGTGGATGAGTGTTTTCCGAGAATCCCTGGATAGAGAAGTTCCAAATCTTACATAAAATACAGTCTAAGAATAATTTTTAAATTATAGTGTACAAATATTTTAATAAAATATTTAAGACTTACCAAACAACTATATAATGACGAAAAGAATTTGGAGAGTCGTTTTGCTGGATTATGAGTAGTCTTATCAGCATTACATAACCACTGAATAGCAGAAATACTATTGAAATAAATTAAAGGATGTCATAAAAGAAAACCAAATTAGATTCTTTACAATACATTTTTTAATGTTATTTATATAAAATATAACTAATAATATATTTTAAAACTCCAAAACACTAAAGTTAATTAAAAACACAAACAAAGACTGAGGTTTGACCTTTTAAGGCCATTTTGATAATGTGTTTTAGATTAGTTCTTAGAGTAAAAAATGACAAGTGAAGACAACCATTCCGATAATATACATTCATTTTTAACCATAATATTAATTAAAACAGCTAAGAAACTTAAAATTCTAGTATTTACAAGTGAATTTTTTAAAGTTAAGGGTTTTTACTAAAAGTTAGAACTGTTATTTGTTGACAGGATTATATGATGACTTTCTGTAATACTGAACGATATGGAGCATGCAAATAAATGGACATTAGTTTATTCTACATTTTAAAAACTTTTTAAAAATACTGAAATTTGTTCTATTTTTTTGGTAAGAATACTTAATGTATTGACTCTTTCTTGCACTTGAAAATGATGCAGTAGAAGTGTTGAAAATGTTAATGAAATTATAAATTTTGGTCACTTATGATGTGTTGATTCTCTTATAGAAGAGTTCTGATTTTTCTCACTTGTCCAGACATGATCTCCCCTACCTCAAGATAATGCAGAGTTGCCAACCTTAAGGGGATAAAATCATTGTATTTGCCCCCTGAAATTATCATATTTCACTTAAAATTATCATACATCCATCTCAATCCTTTATCCATAGAAATATTAACAAGGTTTGCCCTATGTCAGAATCTCAAAATTTTTATCTTATCCCTTCTTACAACAAAAAAATTTTTAGACCCCATTTTACAATGTTTTCACAACTCTCCTTTATATATGATGCAAAAATACCTCTGAATCTGCATAAGCTAAAATTTACATTTTTTCAAACAATTTCAACATACCAAACATTAACAAATTATTATTAACAAATATGTAATAGATTCTTTTATATACAGTACTTATTTCATATGTATAAACCTTAAGTTTTTCCAAATTTTTGCAACCATCTAAAATTTTTAGTCCACTCCTTGAATGATCCCAACTCTCTATGCCAAAAAAAGTTTCAGTTCTAGACAGTTCACTAGATGGAAACTACTCTATAGGCACTACATTAATACATTTTGTATAAGTAGAAGCATAATGGGACTTCAACAGAATGTTTATTTGCACAAATTTTCTTTTCAAATTGTGGGAATCCGGGGTTAAGAGACGGTTGTCTCTCACCTGTGTTTGGCTTCAGATTCAAAAGATCCACCCACTTTGTCAGTGGATGGGATGGTATTATTATTTCGTTTTGTCAACAGGAAGTTCATGTGATCTTCCTCAGAATTTTTCCTGACACCAGCCTAATTAGCACATTAGGCCCATGATTTGAAGTTCTTATATTTTTGTCCAAGGAGGAGGATTTGTGGACTCTCAGTAAGACATTGGCATATATTTGGAATCAAGAATGAGACCATTTAAGCAAAATAAAAGCAAAATTTAATAAAAATAATGAGCTTAAAAATACAAACATGATTACGCACAGATAGTTTCTAAAGTCCCCTTTAAACACGAGAGAGAGAGAGAGAGAGAAATTTACATCATTAAAAACATACTACCTCGATTGACAAATGTTGATCTTTTCGTCAGATTATTGAACAATTGGTCTTTCGTTAATACTCTTCTTGTGGAGAGGTTAATTGGTGATACTCGTCAGGAGGAGGCTCGATTCGAATTTGGGATTGGAGGAGGATTACTCTGGGTTGGAGCACAACGGCAAAACGGCCTCAAATGGCAGGAAATTGCCCTTTTTATACATAAGTCCCTTCCAATCGAAATTTGGGGTTTGTATCAGCTGACGGAACATACAAATGAGTCAAACATCCAGATGTTCATTAAAATTTGAAATAAGCTCTTGTGAAAGGAAGTTTATTTCCCTTTTTGACATAAAAGTGACAAAAGTGTTGTCTTTTTGATGGAAAAAATAAGTAAAAGAAATTAAGTTAAAGTAATTAATGTATGTTATTGCTTGAAAGGAAAAGTTTTCATTTTTAAGTCACATGCAAATAGCTGTATTGAATCACTGTTACGTGCAGCTAAAATAGTAGTTTAGATCAAGGTCCACATTCTAGCCATTTTTCTAAATTGATTAATAAAATGGATTTTTGTAATAAATTTTATAACTCATTTTCAGATTCTCATTTTGAGCATTTTATCAATAGGTCTAAAGTATAGCAATTAATGGTCTCAAAAGGTTTGACAAAGGTGCACTTTATAATTGAGAATATATGGTAGTAGCCAATCTAAAAACTTCTGAAAATTTAGTAGCCCTCTAGCAGCGAAAAAAAAAAACATGAAATATCAATAAAAAGGCAATAAATATAAAAAATAATGATTACAAATTGGTTTTTTTCAAAAATTAATGGTTGTTTTCAAAGTAAGGAATATTTATGAAATATCATACAGACATTATTGTACATCATATGGTGCACAAAGTAATCATACAAATATGATAATTATTGTACAGATAGCAACTCTGAGACATTCTAATTTTTACCAGTGTTGCCAGACTTTAAGAGAAAATGCTGCCAATAAAGTAGAGTACTTTGTAAAACAGTAGTCAAAAAATAGCCAAAAATTGTAATAAAAACTGGTTAGATGTAATCAAAGGTTTAATTGTTAAATGTGATGTGCTTTTATTTTTAGTACACAAAAATAAGTGTTTCAATTTAGCATCCTCTACTGTCAAACAATTGATGTGGGATAACATTTTTCTTTCAGTTAAAATATAGAACAAACATTGCAGGAATGAAGAATATAAGAAAAATTAACATTATATGTATGGGTCCTTATTTGAAACTGGAGAAAACAACCGATAGATGCAGAAAAACAATTGATGGGAACGATAAATCAAGAATCTACTATATAGATATTTAGGAGTCCATGATTTTTCCCCCCTTTAAGAAACACTACCAAGTCTTAAGTTGAAGATAAATGTATTCTTTGATTTATTTTAGCTCACAATTTTATTTATTTATTAGAAAGAATAATGGAGCCACTGTTTGAGTAGTAAATAGACTAATGAAGATAAGAAAATAGTCTATCTGTTAGTCTATCTATTTGTAAAATAATAATTTTACAAATAATTATTTGTAAAATTATTTAAAAAGCATTTTCTAATTATAATTAGAAAATGTTTTTTAAATTTAATTAGTAAATTATAATTATTTCTTATTAATTTATGTAATACAGTACATTGTTTCAAACTTTATTATGCAAAACTTATTGTAAGGATTCCCAATAACTCATTTACCTAATTGCTCCATCAAAAGAACCAGCACGAAATGGCATTCCATTTCCCATGTCTCCAAGAATCACATCACCTTCCACTTCTCTTTCTTTTGCAATATCTATATTTAAACATATAAAAAAATTCTATTTATATACTTGCTCTAGAGATGTATTAATTATTAAAATGTGCTATTAAGAAAAATAAACTATATATAATATTATTAAACAAATAAAATGAATACTTGTTATATATTGTAAAAATACACTAGCTTACATTCATTAGAAGGATTTTAAAATATCTAAAGATCTTCCTGAGATTTAGGACATCCATCAGCATTGCAGAAGATGAAAGAATTCAAATCTTTTACTCTGACTTAGTGTAATTATAACTGATTTGTAATAACAATCATAATTAGTCTCTTTATCGGGATGATCAGATGCTGAGACAATTAAGATATCAGCCCACTGCTCTGAAAAAATCCAGAACTGAATTCAGACAAGAAACCTCAAGAATTTTCATGGGTGATCTGTCCTAGATATGTCAGGCTCTGTCTTTCATCATACAGCCAACCCAATTGTTTGGACAAACCCAAAATGGATACAAGAAAAACCCAACTCACAAATGTATAACTTTTTTTTATATTTTGCATATTGAAACAGATAAGTAGCCTCTAAATGAAAATTGACTCGACCATAACACTGTTATTTCCTGAGGTGCGAGAGAGGACATAAGACGACTCTTTATTGTATAGTCTTTTATATTATATATTTGTGAATTTTTACAATTATTGTCCTAGCAATTTTATCAAAAGAATATAACAAATTTTTGTTTCATATTACTTACTTAACATAGCTTGACTAATATCAACACCAATCCAGCTATGTCCTTGTTCTTCTAACACTTGTCCACTTAAACCTGATCCACATCTGAAAAAAATATTAAAATCTAAATATAGCTAACAACTTTTAATTTCCATAAATTAAATTATCATTATGAACTTTATGTTGTATAAGCTAAAAGTTAATGTAAATTTGATATTAAATGCAACATTACACATATTAAATAATGTAGCTTTAAGTAATTTAACATCAAAACTATTTGCTTCACTTAATCAGGGAACACTGGTAGTCGGTTGTGGGTTTACGCCTAACCAACAGGCTGGCTATATAAAGTTTTCTATAGAAACATCCCAGAAGCTGGAGCTTTATATACTAACTAGTTTACACTTACCATACAACTCCAGTACATCAAGCATTCAATCACAAAGTTTTTTGGCTTTGATCAGAGATCCTCTTCAGGTGGAATAACAAGAGTTATAGTTCTACTGAACTCCCATGTCCTAAGTTACTCAAATATCCTATTTTAGGCATTCTAAAAATTTTTTTTAATTTACAGTCATTCAGTTAGTAATGATTCAAATAATTTTCAAGGTATTCTGAATTTTTTCACCTGAAGAGGGCCTCTGAACAAAGCCAAAAATGTTTGTAATTAAGTACTCAATGTGCTGGAAGTTGTTAGGAGTTTTCCAGTTTTCTTTACATTTAATTAACACCTAAATAAGAACCAGTTTCCCATATACCAGGTGTGGCCAACTTTTGTGTACATAAGATCTACTTTTTATCTTAAAAATGTGTCACAATTGACTTGTTGTTGTAGGCATAGTCTAAGTAGTGAGGGGGGTGTGAAATACATACTATGTTTATATAAGTAAGAAAAGCCACAATTTAATTTAAAATATGAAGAAAAAGTATTTACATTGTAAACAGAAAAAAAACTGAAATTCAGCATTGTCACTTTCGGGGACCACAACTTCACCCTTCCTTTTTCTACCATGTCCCGACCACTCTCTCCGTCCCTCTTCCCGCCTTTCTTTTTTTCGGTTTTACGATCCTTTGTCTACATTTGTTATTCCCCTTTTACAACTGTACGCAAATGGATTGCACATGGACTGACAAAATCACATCTGAGGGAGGACGCTGTAGTCCAATATCACTACAGTTACATTTGCGCGGTATGTTCGGTTACAAGTGTAACACATTAATTCAAGCCATCGCGAGTGATTGACCAAAATTGGCTTCACGATTGACTTGTTGGCCACCCCTGCCATAGACAGTCTTCTCAGGAGGCACCCCTTTTGGCAGATCATTCATATGTTACATTATCTTATTTAATCAAATTCATTTCATTAGGATCATTGTTTATAGCTTTCAACCAACAGTTTTCTTTACTTTAAAAAGTAATATTTTAATTATAATTTTACTATTTTAATAATAAATTATATATATAACTAGAATTTGTTTTGTTTTTTGTTTGTTATTTTGTTTGTTATGCACCAATTATCATACTTTTAACCTGGCGTGAATGAGGTGAGAAATTGTTACACCCGCTATGAGGTGGGTAGGAGATACCCAAAACTTTGATGCCAAATTTTTTATACTATAAAGTATAATATGTGGTATATATATGTGTATAAAGTATTTTTTCACTTGAAATAATAAGAATAGTATCTATTCAACAAGATGAGTAAATAAAATATTATGTTTAAGATTGAAAAGCATTTTTTTTTTTTTTAATTGAAATAACAAAGTGTCTAAATTTTCTTTGAAAAAGTACAAGTTTTGGTAGTTTAACATTTTTTCGTATAAAATTCTAACAAAATTACAACTTCTTTGATTAATCAACATAACTATAGTATCTTTCAATTATAAAAATAGAAAAAAAAACTAAAAGGTCTTATGAGATCAATTTGCACAGCACCAACATTACACCTACAAATCAGCACAATCTCCACACATAAAAATCGCATGCTTCATACATTTTGGCTTCTCACACTTCGAACAGCAATGTTTAGTTTTCCTATCTGTGTTTTAGTACACTCGCCACACCTGACATATTTATTAGCCATTTTTTTGGAAACAGGTAATGAAGGTTCTCCCAGTTGATCAGTAATTACTTTTCGAATTTCCCTTGGAAGATGTGTTTTTTTGTCTAATGCGAAGACTATCATTTGAGAAATCTAGAAATAAATCTAAAAATACTATAAATAACTATAACTCATAAACTTACTGTCAACTCAAAAATGTAACACCAACTATGAGGTCGGGTGTGACCTACCCCCAGCCACCTTTGCTCATGTGTATCTCCCACTGACACTGGTGGAACACTAAACTCAACACTGCGCCTCGCCCCCCCATTCCCTTACCTCCAGCTACTGTGACAACGGGATTTGCATGGCAACAATAACATTAAATAATCTCCGTTTAAAATCTTCTCGGGTATAACACACCCGACTTCACTCATGCCGGGTTAAAAAACATTTTTGTATCATTCCAGCCAATCTTAAAAAGTCTTTCTTTTAATCATTTATGTCAGCCTTTGAAACAAAAAGATTCATCCTACACAATTATTATAAACAATAGCATCAGTTAACTGATAAATTATTCATCAATACTGACTCAGGAAACAAACTGAATCTTCTTTTGTTTGATGAAAGATCTAGAATGATATAAAATGGTAGAAAATCTACAGAATTGTAGTAAAAGCCCCAATTAATCAAGGTTCCTTTTTTTCACTTTTCATCCAAACATTGTGCATTGCATACATATAAAGGTTAAAAATAGAAAACTACCAATGTCATGGAATTCATAAACTAAATTTATTTATTCCCAAATAAGTTATTACACCAAGCTTATGTGCTACCATGATTACTGAGTCCACAGTCTAAAATTTTTTTTACTACTCCCTGAAGAAGGAAATCTATATTAAGACTTTAGAGAATATAGTCGATTCCATTTAATTGGGCCACCGATTAATTGGGGCAGCCACTTTATTGAGCCAAAATGATTCCCAATGTGTCCCAATTAAGTGGAATCAACTGTATAACATTTGTATTATTAATCAAAATAAATAACAAAAATTGTATATGGCACCATCTGTTATGAGATTTTGTTATAAAAAGTTTACATATTTTTAATTATTATAAAATAGCAAGAGACTTAATTTTGAGGGTAGATATAAGTTTTATAGAACACTGTAAATGATAACAAGTCTGACACCTCACAAGATATGACATATGACCACCCTCTATCTCTCCATCCCCTTGATCTTTCACAACCAAAATTTAAAAGAATCAATGCCCCTTATATACAAGCTACCATGCCAAATTTTGTTTCTTTATCTTTACTCTGTCCTGAGATATTATGCAAAATAGAGGCCAACACACACACGCACGCACATACATATCTACAAAATTTTTTTGCCTTTTTTTTATTTTTTTTAGGTTCAGGAAGTCTCAAAACATGGAAATTTGCAAAAAATTCGGAGGGTCAAGTTTGACATGATTCCAATACTTTCCTTTATTATGTATACATAACAGCTGAGGAAAGTAAAAGAAAAATACACATTTTTACTAGTAGATAAATAAGCAAAATGTATAAGCCCCATGTGATTTTTAATATTTAATTTATGTAAAAATTTCACACTTATTTGGAAAGGGGAAATATGTATTCCATTACCAAGGTTCAATCTCTCAACATTTCATACATGAAAAAGAAACAATAGCACTGGACCACAAAACATTCAATAAAGTAACCTCCTAAAACTTGCTTGTAAGTCATTAAGGAGTTTTTAATGTCAATTTTCTTGAAAATGCTTGAGAAGTGCACTTTCTCCCTTTGCTTAATAAAGGTTTGTATCAAGACTTATTCACACATAAACAATATTATTCGAATCCATGATGGGCACCTCATAAGGTCTCCGTGTAAGACCATTACAACTCTATTTTAGACAAGACAAAATGAGCAAAAAAGGCATCTTAGACTTGAATAAAATATGGTATTATTGTATTACAAAGATTAATGATTATAAAAGAAAAATATATTTAAGAAATTGTCTAAAGTGCTTTCAGTCATGATTATTTGAAAGGAAAGGAGTTGTCTATTAAATTAATTTAGTTCTGCCTGGTTCCAGTAAAAGTACCAAGTTCCTTTTATAAACCATATTCTCAGAGTTCAATATTTGGTTCCATCTAGTCTATAGGCCCTGAACATGCTGTAAAATTTTTGGAATGAAAGTTGACAGATGATAAAAGTGGCATAAGCAATTTTCAATCATGTGAGGAAAATGTAAGGTACTGCACACAATTTAAATTGAACATCTAGCTAACAACAACTTATTTACAATCTAGGCATTGAAGTTTCATAATTATCATCATGGTGGCACACATTCTTTCAACTTATACTGAAAAACAAAAAGCAGCAACAATTATTATAATGTGTTTAATCAATGAGGAAAGTAAAGAGGATGAAGAATACAGATATAGACAGACAGGACCATAGTTAGTTTTCACTGTATTCAACTAAGGATGACATCACACAAGATGTGAATCAATACTAGATCATCATTGGCTGTTTTATCACAGCTACATAGTCACATGTAACCCTCATAATAGAAACTAGAAGAAAACCTCTCTGAAGTGAGATTGCATCAAAATTTTCGATGAGAATTGCCTCAAATGTTTTCATGCATTGTACATTGTTGTAACTGATAAAGTTGTACTATGTTTGGGCCAGGTTAGAACAAAATGACAGTAAATACTAACTATCCAGTCAGTTATCCAAATATATTAAATTTTCAACTAAGTCTTCACTGTTGATAACTTTCTTTTTTATCAGTTATAACTGAAAAAGGAAATTGCCAAATAAATTCAAATTGCTTATCTTTTACGATATAAGCCAATACTCTATCAGCTGACTCAATCTAGGATAGCAATTGCCAACTAACTTATAATTTTAAATAGCAACAACAAAGGCAACTATTTGAAATGGTAATAAATTTTATTTGAGATGCTGTTAAAACTGCAAACTAACAGTATCAACATTTCATATAGAAATTTAATATTACTATTTAAATCTTAAACTCTCTGTTGCAATGTTTATTATATCATCTTGACTTCAAGAATATATAGGCTGTATCAAAAAATCAACAAATGAATTTTAAAATTATAATGTAAAATTAATTTTTTATAGTAATAAATTACTTACCCTATATCTAAAATACAACATGGTACATCATCTGGTAGTGCTAACAGTTCAATTGCTCTTTCTGACATTTGGGTTTGAATTTCAATCATTCTGGAACTATAAAAATCAATGATATTACATAATTTTAATTAATTTAATTTTTAAATTTTCAAAATTTAAACTATATTAAAACGTAAATTAAATCATTAAAAAAAAGTATATACCAGTATCTTTTTTGTTTAATTTCATTGTATCAATTTTTATTGATAAATTTAATGCTATATAATAAAAACAAAAAACTTCAAACAATCTCATTACTGTTAAAGTATTTTCCAAGTAGTTCAACTTTTAAAATTATTAATAAAGTAAAATAAACCATACAAAGGGAAGCATAAAAAATCTCTCAGATTTTTATATTTGTATAGTTTAAAATGAATTCAATCATCAATTTGAAATTATTCTGAGTCATAAAAATAAACAAAATAATCTTTTTTAATATCTAAATAATAATGAAAGAAAAGAGGACCATTTGAAAATATTAAAATAATATATAATAAAAATATTTACAAATGATAAAATGTTATATATTGTGTGTATTCTGTAATCATTCATCTTGTAGATAAAATACAATTAAAAACAGAATACCAAATATTGTAATAAATTTCATGAAATTAAAAAAATTGAATTAGATGATACAGATTTTAAACAAAATTACATAAAAATGTTTAACATAAAATTAAGATTATTATTAACATGAACGTTACATACGAAATTTGCAGAGATATTCCAAATAAAAGCAAATAAGTTAAATATTTAGCATATAGCATTGTTGTTTAAACTGTCTGAAAATATTTATTAAAATTTTAATTTACAAATGAAAGAATTTTATTATTTTATCAATGCTATTTTTGTAAACACTATTGCATTAATAGCAATAATTTTCTCAATTTAGTGTTAAATGTATGATTATAAATTTCAATTGGTCTTACTATGCGCTGACTGACAGGAAATGTTTCAGTAGAAAACATTTCACAAAAACAGTGTGGGACAATAGAAAGAGGACATTGAATATGTTAACCAGGACTGCAGAGACTCAACCCCAACTCCTGATAATTTTAGTAGGCCGACTCTGACTTCCGACTCTAGCAAAATTAAATACAAATTCATTTTATGGGGAACAAAGACACTCAAAGGGGGTTATGTAAGACCATTACAACTCTATTTTAGACAAGACAAAATGAGCAAAAAAGGCATCTTAGACTTGAATAAAATATGGTATTATTGTATTACAAAGATTAATGATTATAAAAGAAAAATATATTTAAGAAATTGTCTAAAGTGCTTTCAGTCATGATTATTTGAAAGGAAAGGAGTTGTCTATTAAATTAATTTAGTTCTGCCTGGTTCCAGTAAAAGTACCAAGTTCCTTTTATAAACCATATTCTCAGAGTTCAATATTTGGTTCCATCTAGTCTATAGGCCCTGAACATGCTGTAAAATTTTTGGAATGAAAGTTGACAGATGATAAAAGTGGCATAAGCAATTTTCAATCATGTGAGGAAAATGTAAGGTACTGCACACAATTTAAATTGAACATCTAGCTAACAACAACTTATTTACAATCTAGGCATTGAAGTTTCATAATTATCATCATGGTGGCACACATTCTTTCAACTTATACTGAAAAACAAAAAGCAGCAACAATTATTATAATGTGTTTAATCAATGAGGAAAGTAAAGAGGATGAAGAATACAGATATAGACAGACAGGACCATAGTTAGTTTTCACTGTATTCAACTAAGGATGACATCACACAAGATGTGAATCAATACTAGATCATCATTGGCTGTTTTATCACAGCTACATAGTCACATGTAACCCTCATAATAGAAACTAGAAGAAAACCTCTCTGAAGTGAGATTGCATCAAAATTTTCGATGAGAATTGCCTCAAATGTTTTCATGCATTGTACATTGTTGTAACTGATAAAGTTGTACTATGTTTGGGCCAGGTTAGAACAAAATGACAGTAAATACTAACTATCCAGTCAGTTATCCAAATATATTAAATTTTCAACTAAGTCTTCACTGTTGATAACTTTCTTTTTTATCAGTTATAACTGAAAAAGGAAATTGCCAAATAAATTCAAATTGCTTATCTTTTACGATATAAGCCAATACTCTATCAGCTGACTCAATCTAGGATAGCAATTGCCAACTAACTTATAATTTTAAATAGCAACAACAAAGGCAACTATTTGAAATGGTAATAAATTTTATTTGAGATGCTGTTAAAACTGCAAACTAACAGTATCAACATTTCATATAGAAATTTAATATTACTATTTAAATCTTAAACTCTCTGTTGCAATGTTTATTATATCATCTTGACTTCAAGAATATATAGGCTGTATCAAAAAATCAACAAATGAATTTTAAAATTATAATGTAAAATTAATTTTTTATAGTAATAAATTACTTACCCTATATCTAAAATACAACATGGTACATCATCTGGTAGTGCTAACAGTTCAATTGCTCTTTCTGACATTTGGGTTTGAATTTCAATCATTCTGGAACTATAAAAATCAATGATATTACATAATTTTAATTAATTTAATTTTTAAATTTTCAAAATTTAAACTATATTAAAACGTAAATTAAATCATTAAAAAAAAGTATATACCAGTATCTTTTTTGTTTAATTTCATTGTATCAATTTTTATTGATAAATTTAATGCTATATAATAAAAACAAAAAACTTCAAACAATCTCATTACTGTTAAAGTATTTTCCAAGTAGTTCAACTTTTAAAATTATTAATAAAGTAAAATAAACCATACAAAGGGAAGCATAAAAAATCTCTCAGATTTTTATATTTGTATAGTTTAAAATGAATTCAATCATCAATTTGAAATTATTCTGAGTCATAAAAATAAACAAAATAATCTTTTTTAATATCTAAATAATAATGAAAGAAAAGAGGACCATNTTCCTTTGTCTCGCCCTTCTGTGAAATTTAACACCGATGAGTCATTGTTTACACAGCTGGGTGACCTTGAGAACATCTGGTTTTGGATTTCCCGGGGCATTCTCAGACGTCGGGGGAGGACAAGGGTTTAAAGTAGGGTGAATACTAGCTGGCCGTATATTTTAAAATATTTTTTAAAAATTTGGAAACTTAAAAAACATTCCAAAAATTCAAAAAAAATTTAAAAAATGGCCTTAAAGACCGTGTTTTATGTAACCTGCCCAAGATATCTCGGCGAGGAACTAAAGGGGTTTAAATTAAATTAACTCTTCACATCCAGATGTCAGTGATTTGTTTTTAGAGTGAGCTTTTGCAATTCGGAGATTCCCCTTGTACTGTACATGATACTTAACATCGACAAGTCGCTATTACATCATTCTGAGTTTTGCATTAAAAGGTATAAACTGTAATTGTTTCGAAATTAAATATTATTTTAGAGGTGTTTTGTTCATTTTTATAATAAGTAGCGAGTTTAAATTTTACTGATTTCAAGTTGCAGTAATAAGCAGACTATTTTTTTTAATTTCTGCAAACTTTTTTATGCGGTTTTAAGTTAATTTTAACTCGTTGTTTTGGTTTTATGTGATTTTAGAAAATTACGGAACGTATCCCTACTTTTTCAAGGCAAGTAAAGTCTTTTTTTATGCGAATTTTTTATATGCGCTTTTCTGTAGAACGTATCCACCGCATAAAACGAAACCTTACAGTAATATACAATTTTATTTTAAATTCACTTCCTATAAATCAATTTTAGATTTTATTTATGTTTTTTAAACAATACTTCAAAATTTATTCTAGTGTTCTGTATTCTATTTTCAATAATATTTTAATTTTAAGATAAATGATTATACATTTGAAGACATTAATTGATGTAAACATTTTTTGCAAGAAATAAAAAAAAAACATTATTATATAATAATTAATAACACATAAATTACCATTTATTCTTTTTCATTTTATTAACTTAAGGCAAAGCTATATAAACTTTTAATTTGTGAATTATATCAATAATTATAACTTATAATTTAATATTAAGAAAGCTAGCTCAAACTGAAATGTGCATACAAAGTATTTCTTGTTTTGTGTGTCTTATTTCCAGAATTGAATAAAAAAAATAAAAAAAAAAAACTTTAGCCAGTTATAAGTTTTTGTTGAGAAAAAAAACATCAATTTTGTTGAGAAGTTTTTTTATAAATATATTGAAATCTTTTGGGTCCACTAAAAGCCTAGTTTCTTTGCAGTCTGCATCCAGAAAAAGTTGCTAATTACTGCCCTAGGCAGTAGGCCTGAAACAGATTATCCACAAATACATAGATTGCATTTCTTTATGCATCGCTGCTCGATCACTACACAGTAAAGCATTTCTAAATGAAGCACTATAATGTATCAAACTGTTTCTAAATGTTTGCTGCAGCAACCTCTTGTAGCAAATGTTTAGAAATGGTTTACTACATTATAGCGCTTCATTTAGAAATGCTTTGCTGTATAGCTATTGAGCAGCGCTGCATAAAGAAACACAACCATACCTATATATTTCAATGTATGCTAGAACAAATAAATTTTATAACAAAAGGTTCTAGAACTAATTATATTCATCTAGCAAACCTATACACTAAATATATCAACAAATACCCTTGTGGTAACAATACACTTCACATCATATAAGCATTTTTAGTTGCTTTTTGTAAAGAAGAAAACATTTAATTTTAAACATTATTCTAGGCAGAAACAGTGCAATTTAATTTCAAGTTATTACCAATTTTTGTAAATCTCAATAATTTACAAAAATTGCAAGAAACATATGGAGCAAACTATCCTGTGAAAAGTTGTTTCTCAATCCACTATTCTTTGAATTTTTTCTAATACAGGTGATCTACAATCCAGCAGGATACAAATGGTGCTCAACAAAAATGTTACCATTTCATATTATCATCTATAATTGCAGCCTGATGACCAAGGTGGTAAAGGTCTTTATCGGTCTCCTCTGAGAAATCCAGAATCGAATTCAAGCTGAAAATTCTAGAAATTTTCTGTGCATATTCTGCTCGGAATATATTAGGTCCTGTCTCTCACCATCCATTTACCCCATTGTGGGTCTGGATAAACCCTCAAAAAGCCCCAGAGTAATTATACAGTTTAAGAAAATATGCTTAATGGAAAAAGTTTAATGGCATCTCAAACCGGGGCACAATTGATAAGTAGTCCTATGATTTTTTGTTTATAGCACTTTATATACAGGTCATTCGGAAAAATGTTGCGCGTTTTCTGAATGTCTATTAAATATACCTTTTTTTTAATATAACATAATTGAAAAAACTCATATTCCCTTAAACTGTATAATTACCATTTTTTAAAATTAACCTACGGTACATATAATCTTTTAAAAAAATAACACATATTCAAAAAGACTTACTTTGAAGTATACTTTTTCGCCTCTTCGTCATTATAAAACTATTTTTAAAAATAGAGTATTTTAATACTTTATAAGTATGATAAAATATTAAATTAATCGAGAAAATATAATAAAATCTCTCAAATCTTTACTTAAAATCTCAAATGTTTAACTATAGAAAACCACGCTGTGTAACACGTGTATTCATACGTTACACATTCAAAAACGTTAACCTAAATTTCTTAAATTATTTAAATTTTCGTTATCAAGAAAAGCAAATTATAAATTAAAGCAAACTATTTTTAAGTTTCTTTAAATTTGAATTTTAAATCTTACGATTTCTGGCGGAGCCAAATGTTCTGGTCTTCGAGCCATGTCTTTCACAGATCGCTTCGCCCCCTCTCGTCTTCGTGCATGATATCGTTAAATAATAATAATAATTTTTATGTCGAATGCGAAAATAATCTATGAAAAATATGTTATTTTAAAATCTATTGAATTAGTAATTAAGCCTATGAAGCTGCGGCTAAGTTGACAGATCACAGTATTGCTACGAGTTCGAGTTCGAATATATTCAGAGCCGGCCGGTGGTGCGACCGCACAAGGTATGATCCTGCATGATCCAATTCTTGCGAAACTTAAAAATTGATCATTTCATTATTTTCTAAGTTAACTAACTTTTCTAATCTATTTAACGGATGGTACCATTACCATTTACCATTAAAATATTATTTTGTTGTTCGAAACTGTAACTTTTTTCTTTTTTGAAAAAAAAAGAAAAAAGTTAAAATGTGTTAAAATCAATGCTAGAACCGCATCGGGATTGAAGCACTTCTTCCATTTAATTTCAAGTTTAAAATAGTTTAAACTGTTAAATAATTTTATAATTATAAACGTGCCATAAAGTACAACAAAGCTAGTTATTTATTATTTATTTATTAGATATACGTAAAACGTATCGAATTAAATTTAATAATTTTATATTAATATATTCTCTACACTAGAGGGCGAAGTAGTAAGGTGACCGACATGGCGGAGATCACGTGGTTCTAGTCGTGTAAGTTTTACATAATATTTACGACGATTTTAAGCCGTCTCGTGCGAATTGATTACATTCGCAACTGACGTTTTTAAACCTGAGTTCATTAATTTGAAGAGTAGATAATTTTTAATGTTTTTATTAGCAGATAGAAATATTTTCAAAAGAAATTGCTTCGATTATATGAATTCATGTTTAATGAAATCACGAAGAAACTGAATACGTTTCAGAAGCACAAGTTAAAAATCATGTGTCGGTTCCTTTCCCAAGATGGATCGTATTCTCAGAGGAAAAGATATTATGAAGCGCTCAATCTCACTCCAAAGGCTACCCAAGCGCAGATTAAATCGGCATTTTATAGACTTTCTATGTTGTATCACCCGGATAAAAATAATTCCGAGGCTGCTACTGTTAAATTTCGGGAAATTAACGAAGCCTACGAAGTATTAGGAAATTACGAATTGAGAAAAAAGTACGATCGAGGACTCTTAACTACGAGAAGAGCCAGCGTCGTGGATCCGGCGGACGAGATCAAAGACGAGCACGCGGATTTTTATAAGAGTAGAGAAAAAAGCCGTAAACCGGTGCCTCGCGGCAGGTCGCAGATTTACAATTTTGACGAGTTTTATAGGATGCATTACGGGGAAGCTGTACATCGAGATCACGGTCATCAAAAGGAATACGTCGAGCACATGAAGAGTAAAAGAGAGAAGACCAAGTCCTATTTATTACTCTATTTAATTTTGGCGTTTTGTTTTATTTCGTTATACGTGGATTATCAGACGCATCGAATGCGTAAGCCGAAACGGGAAAATTTAAATGAAAAACAGACGTGATGCCGAGAAAAATTATGCTCGCATATATTGAAAAACTTTCAATTTAAGAAGTTTTAGAAGATGGTTAAACTAATTATTATAAAGAACAATATAAAATAAAAGATTGTATAGTTTATTTAAAGCTGTTATTAAGTAGAAGTTAAACATATGCTTTATTGTAATGATGTTATATTATAGTTTATTAAAAAAATTAAATTATAAAACACTGTGAAAATAAGATTATAATATTTTAAAGTAATAATACAATAATTGGAAGGTTATAACATTTCATGAAAATTACAATTGCAAAATAAGCTTTCTGATTTTACAATGGAATATATTTAGAAAAGTTATGACATTTTTAGATAAAGAAAAGTAAATTACTATAATTTGGAAGAAGTAATACAATTCACTTAAATTTTATGATAAAATATATTTTAATGATACCCTAATATTTGTTCAGTATACAAAATAAAATTGGTATTTTCTATACATCATTTTTATTTATATTTATTTTTTAAGAACTATTTCAGTATTGGAATAGCTCTTGATATAATTATAAATGTATATCAAACGTCCCAAAGCCCTGTATATATATATATAGATATATAACCAAATGATTGCCTTAAGTAATCAAGCTATAAAAAGTAGATTTATATATAGCCCAATTATTTAAGGCAATCATTTGGTTATGTATGTATAATTGTAAATGAATATTTGAAGTAAACATAAAACTTGGATCAAAAGTTTGTTTTGGAAAACACGGATTTATATACAATTGTAATTTTTAGTGTTTACAAGTATAACCAGTTTTGAGTGGCAGTATTATGTAATTTTCTAAACTGATGATTATGGCTGATATTTGAACATAGATAATTTTAATAGTTGTCAGCTCTGCAATCTTAAAAAATTCATTTGTTAGAATGATAAATAATTTTAATTTGGATGAATTTGTGTCAAATGAAGAACATAGAATTATGTTCGTAGCCTGTAGTAAACATTTGTTACAAGTAAGAACAGAAGAGGAAATGAAATTCCTAAGTCTACAAATATCTGCAAAAAAAAGTACTTTCCTTTAACTTACAAATGACTATTTGCTTAAGAAGCCTAATTATTACTATCAATAATTCTGTGAACAAACATATTATCAATTTAATTGATACCTGCTTGAATGATTATGATCTATTTTTACAGTAGCAAGACTGCTGAAGCTATTTAAAATATAATCAGTTTAAAATGATTGATTATAAAAATTTTAAATAGCTCCAACTAGAGCCAGGGACAGCAGGATCCTTCTTTTTTTTTTTTTTATTTTGGAATAAATGAAATACTTGGGATGTTTCTTAATTAATAAAAAGCAGTCATAAATGTTTTATTTTCTGTTAATAATAATGTTAATTTTATAGGAATCACAACAGACTAAATTTTCTCCAAGTCTGGGGAAAACTCCCTAATCCCTTCTTAATGATACTGGATCCAACATTCAACAAAATACTGAATATGGCTATTTTTAGATTTATTTAACAAGTATTTTAAGCTTTATTTTATTAATTAGATATACTTTCAATAAAACTGTCTATGAAGTTATGAAAAAATTATATCCAAATACATACTGTAAACAAACTTTTATATGAAAATATTATTATAATGACTCAATAGCTGTTGATTTTGTTACAAATAAAAGTGGATACAACAAATGGAACAAAATTAATCTGCATAAACTTCAAAAATTATTGTTAAAGTTTTTCTAATAAATTCATGAAAGTGGAATTTCTTAGAACTGCTCTCCAGTTTTAAAAAATATATGACAATACTGTAGAAATTATCTTCTTGACATATGCTTTCTTTCTTTAGGTGTCTTCTCCTGTCAGAAGGTTGACAACCATTTCACGCCACCATGATCTATCTTGTGCTTCTCTTGAGCACTCTTCAAACATTAAGTATGTCCAATTCCTGATGTTGCTGAACCAGTTCTTTTTTGGCCTACCCCTACCTCTTTGCCCTTCAATCATTCCCTCTAGTAATAGTTTTTGTAGGCTGTTGTATCGCATTACATGCCCCAGATAACTCACTATTCTTACAGTGACCATACGTCCTTTATTTAAGAGGACAGTCCTTTATTTCACTGCTCTGTCCTTTAACTTTATTTATTTTCTAAAATAAGCATTTTGTCCTTTATTTTGTAAAGTTGATGCAAAGTTTAAAGAAATTTTTTTTAATAATATATTGAACAAGTTAGTTTTGTATACGCCATCACGACCAGTGTTGCATTGCTACATAGAGCGCAGTAGTGCAGTGTGTTACCAACCAAACGGCCCATTGACAGTACCAGGGGTTTCTTCCTATTGTTATTAGAAAAGCGGTTTTAGCATTAGAAAAATCAGAAAATATACAAGCCAAAAAATGCAATGATGCTGTGTACACATTTTATCAAACGTGCATAGATTATCTAAATAATTGGGACATGTTTTTT